AAGCTGAGGTTATTAGTAATTTTCCTCGACCACGCAATTTAAAGGGTGTACAACGATTTATCGGCATGGCTGCTTTTTATGCCAAGTTCATACCTAATTTCTCCGAAATCAGTAGACCATTGAACTACTTGAAAAAGAAAGGCGTAAGATTCAGGTGGGGTCCCGATCAACAATCTAGTTTCGACAAAATAAAGCAAACATTGTCCTCGCCCGTCGTACTTCATTTGCCAGACTGGTCGAAAAAATTTATTGTGTCGTGTGACGCAAGTGAAAACGCCGTAGGAATTGTCTTGGAACAGGAAATTAACGGCAATAATGTTCCAATTGCTTTTGCCAGCAAAACGTTCTCAGGTGCTCAATTGAAATACAGCATGTATTTGAAGGAATTTGCCGCTGTATTGTACGGCCTAGAAAAATTCAAAGATTACCTTACTGATAACCCATTCATCCTCAAAACAGATTGTATGGCTGTAACATATGTTATGGGTTCAGACAAGACTACTGGTATGTTAGCGCGTTGGAAGCTACGATTTTCACAATTTCCATGCGAAAAAATCGAGCATTGTAGGGGCACACAAAACATAGTAAGCGACGCTCTAAGCCGGATGTTTGAAGTCAATGAACCACAACAGACTAAAACCCCAGCGCCACAAAGCGACGTTGGCCCCGACCGAGTCAAAGTCAACAAACAAAAGCAGACTAAAACTCCCGCATCACAAAATGATGTTGTCCCCGAACAAGTTTTCTTTCTACAACACTTCCCTGAAACTTTTGAGTCACTGAGTTCGAAACAACGCGAAGATCCACAGCTCCTCAATATTATAAATAACATCGAAGATGGAATCGACGTACCAAATTATTTCATAAAAAAGGGTATACTACGTTATCAAAAAAACCCCAGAAATCCGTCTAAAATCGTCGTTCCGACTCAAATGAGGAAAATGCTAATGAAATATTTTCACGACATTTCAATATCCGCTCACTTGGGAATAAAAAAGACTATCGGGCGAATCACACGCGAATTCACTTGGGAGAAAATTTTCGACGAGGTTAAGCAATTTGTCCGGTCATGTAGCCTTTGTCAGCTGTCTAAACCAGCTCAAGCGCTAAATATTGGCCTGATGAATTCTAAACCTCCCGAAAGATGCTTTGAGAGGCTGCACATCGATACCTTTGGACCGTTAATACGAACGGCAAATGGAAATATGTATGCATTAGTTTGTGTTGATACATTTTCAAAGTTTAGTTGGATTATTCCATTAAAGAAGGCAAACACCAAAACAATCATTGCAGCGCTAAGGGAAAAAATTTTCACTCAACATGGTTTCCCAGAAATAATAGTATCAGACAACGCATCTATCTTCAAATCAGAAATGTTCAAAAGTTTTTTATTCAGCTTAGGAATAAAACACATAAATACTTCTGTAGCTAGGCCAAACTCAAATCAGTCAGAACGAGTCAATCGCAATCTGAAAATAGCGTTAAAAATTTTCCATTCACAAACACAAAAACGTTGGGATGAAAATATCGCATATTTAAACATGGGTCTAAATTCAGCCGTTCACGAAACAACCAAATCGACGCCTGCGCGAATTTTCTTAGGACGAGAAATCAACCATCCATTACAATTGCAGTGGGATATCGATCAGGAAAACGATACCGAAGTCACAGAGGATTGTATTGCGAAAATCGTCGATAATATTAAATCTGCCCATCGCAAAAGTAGCGCAAGGTATAATAAAAACAGGAATCCTTCGCCGTTCAAAGAAAACGATTTGGTATTATATAAAAGGTATATACCAAGTAATAAAGCCAACGAGGTATCGCACAAATTGACTCAAACATGGAAAGGTCCTTACGTCGTAACTAATGTGTTAAGTCCAGTAAATGTCAGAATTGAATTAGTCGAGGATCCCAGCATAAATCGAGTAGTTCATGTATGCCAATTGAAAAAGTATTATCAGCGGTAGGTGTATTGTATTGTATCGTATTGTTTTGCATGTGTTTAAATGTGGTAACGTAACAAAAATTGTAATTAGAAATAAGTTGTAAGTGGACAAACAGTGGAGTAAATCAACAAGTGTTGTGTTGGTGATGCAATCGAGGAGGCCGTGCGATGTTTGGACTGACCATCATAACATTGTTATCGCTGGTGCCACTGATAGCATTGTTGAGCGCCCGCCCCACCCTCCCCAGCTGACAACACTACTATCGGACCATTGTTGGGTCGCTGTGCTACTGACCTACTAGAGCCACTGCAACTGTGCCACACCATAACAAGCTACGAGCCCAGCTGTTCACCACTTCTGACAACACACTCTGCGGGTGGTCACCTTGGTGATACACCAAAATGTTATTCTGTGCGCGGGATGCCTTTGTGTGTTCAATGAGGGAAATGATCAGTTGGTGTCTTGTTACAAAATAGATCATTGTTGTAGTTTAGTATTCTTGTTACCATAATTTGAATTGTTGTCGTTATTGTTGATTGTAAATTGTAATTGTGTTCATGTGTATCGTCGTGGTCCACCGGCTAGACCAAAAATGCTCCGAGGTAGTACGATAGGTTGGACTGTCCTAGGCCGATCACGGATCATTTTTTTCTGCTAGGGGGCATTTTGTACCGATTTTGTTGTAAAAAGGCAACAAATCAATACAGGGTAACGCGAAGAACAGTCAGCTGGTTTAAACAATAGATCAGTATAGACCAGAATGCACCACGCACTAAAGTAGGAGGGGGAATAAGGTCTAGCCGGATGGTCACTTGCTTCCAGCAGTACCAGTTCATATCCAAATCTCATCGTAGCTAGTTCGGTAAAATTGTTTTTCGTTCGTGGAAATTAAATTCATTTCGCGGCGTTTGGTCGGGCAATCTTATTTTTCCTTAAAATCGTACAGCCTATATCCCTAAGGGATATAATTGCCCCGCGATTGGAAATTAGTATCAGTGTCATTGTCAGAAAGTGAAAAAGTTCGTTACCGGCCAACGCAGTTCCGCCATTTGAAAATTACACGTTCGTTTCACGAGTTCAATTGATCGCGTCTTGTAGAATACCGGCTAGTTACATTTCCCAATCCCTTCCCCTTTATTTGTGTCATATTTGTGGACGTCCAAACTGTAAGTAATTTGTGTTATTTATTTGTTAATTTAAGATTTCAGTGAGTCGCACCTTTGAAAATTTTTCCTGTCTTGTTTTGTCACTTCATGTAGAATAAGCACATGTTCATAGGTTCAAATTCAAATCACTGATTTTCACATCCATTCATATTGTAGCAATCCGCTTTATTAATTAGATTGTAACAACCCTATAGTATTAAGAATAAATAGGTAAAAATGTTTTTATAGGGCAATTCAGAGTTATTTAATAAGATTTTTATAGTGTTGGAATTTTACACAGAGTCATTGTTAATTTTCATTGTTGTGCAAATGGTACAATTCTTTTAAAGAGTGTCACAGTCAGTATCTTTTGGGGGAAACAAATTATTATCAGAGAAGGGAGCAGGTAGCTGGTTCGATTGATACGGAAGTGTTGTTGGAAGTTGTGCCAGTTTGAACATAGATGAACCACCAAAGTGCCAAATTAGCTATAAAATAATAAAGCAACATTCTGATAAACATTACTACGATTGAATACAATATTGTTCAATCAGTTGGACTGCGAGACGACCTTCGCTTTTAATCGTTGGCCAACGAAAGGATTTGCTTGGTACAGGTCATCTCAACCATTAGATTAAATACCACTCTTCCATTGATACTTTCGAGATCGGTGTGAAACCGCACCATACCTCCCCTTTGATAAATCCATTCAACAGTTTCAATAAATTTCCAACTGATTGTGTATCTCTAGGTCATTTTTACTTGAAAGAACACAACAACGACTGTAATCTGAAATAAGTGTATTATTAAATTCTGTGCAATAAATTCAAATTGTTACTCACTTCTAGTTCTCAATAACCTTGGTATTTTAGCATATGCAATAGTAATTGATAAACAAAAGGTAATTCAGTAAATCATAAGCCACTACAAAAGATTCACCTTTTAAGTGCAACACTAGTCACTAGTGTAGTAGTGAGCAAGTAAATTCAGTGTAGAATTAAGACTGGTAAATTGATCTCATTAAAGGTATTACTTTATTGGAAGAACTACAAGCAGTGCCAGGGGCGTCCCCTAAGGACCTTTGGGGAATATTTATATTTTGCAGGGTCCACTCATATTTTTCATTAACATCAAGCTTCCACTGCCAAAAAGCTCTGTCTGATATTTTTATTTTCTAGAGTTCTTCCAACCTAGGGGCAACCAACATTTGTAAAGAATTCATTAAAGAGCATTGCAAGGAGTAAATATATTTAAATATAATATTTAAATATATGAGAGTCAAAGTCTGAGTTTTTTTCTTTACATAAGTTTTAATTAACGCCCATCAATTCCCCAAAAAAGAAAAAAAACTAGTGAGGCCTTGCTCCCATACCACACATAGAAGAAGTTTCGTTCTTCTCTTGGCAAATTGTTTTTCGTTAATTAATTAACAATAAGTTACTTATAATTTTGTATGTACATTGTTAGGTTATAAATAATTTGTTTCTTAGATCCTAAATTATATTAAAAATTTACTGAATTACTTGTGGAGAAATAAATATTGAGTGATGTATTTATTATTTTTTTCTGAGGCATCATCAGGAGTACAGTTTATTAAAAACTTATTTATTTACATTGCAGTAGACCGAGTGTAGTGTCGTTTAGTGCAATGTAAAAAAAAAAAAAAAAAAAAAAATGTTAATGGGTTTTTACCTTACCATAATATCCAAATCATTATTATGGTCGATTTCAATCAACATGTTTACTACAGTAGAAATTCAATAAACACTCTTAAAATAAATGTATTGTTTTTATAACCAATGCTAATCAAACGTCACTGAAAATTTGCTCCTAAAAACTTCGTGGTGTTCATGTGCAGTGCGTGCAGGTGCAGTCGTTCAGGGATGCTACACAGGTTGAGGTTGCAGATTGGTGGACAGGGACAGATCAGAAATCAGAAATCAGATGCAGAATTTGGGACTTCACTTGCAGACTTGACAACATTATGGGTTTCTCATCCATTGTCGAAATTAGTATTTAGTAATGTTTTATAGTTTTACAATTTAACTACAACTTAGATTCTTTGCTCGGAATAATTTTGCAGTAAGTATCCCTAAATAAATGTATAAATTGTTTAGTCATTTTTGTTCAGCATTCTGTAAAACAGTTCTGCCCTTCGGATCGTTGTTGTGTAGGATTTTGTCAAACCCTCGTCTTTGTTCACATTCATTTGGGAATAAAAGTAATTTATATTTTTTTCAATTGTGTCACTGGCACTTTCTTTGCGTGTGTCTGAAACCGTGTATTAGAATATAAAGATTAAACTAAAGTGGGTGTTTTGACAAAACAGTAGGCCTAGTGCATTATTAAAATGTGCTAAGGTGTTATGTCGTTCAGATAAAGTTATGGGTTTTGGTGCCGTGATTTCAAAACAAATGGTGATAATTTTTACAACTGTTATAAATTTTGTTTTATAAATTCATCTTGTGAGTTCACTTGTATTTCCAAAAAATTTAAACGCTCTTTTGAGTTGAAGTAGCCCTAGGGGAGACCTGTTAGTTTGGCCTAGACCCAATTTCACACAACTTCAAATCCATCCCATCATGGACCATATCGTTTGGAAAGTAAAACATTGGTATGTTTAACACTCCACTTATTCTTCAGTCAATGCACCTAACGTTTTTAAGAAAATGTAAATCAAAAGGCCTATTACAGATGGGTGTAGTGACAAATAATTTCACTTGGTAAATAACTTAGGCCTAGTCCTAACTTTTTGTCTTAGGCTAAGCATGATCTAACTTACAGTAAGTTAAATAGGCCTAAGTTATGTTTTTCTCATATCTCATGAGAAATCCAAAAATGTTATCGGTATTTATTCCGTATAGGTGCCTCCAAACGAATTGTTAATTTTGATATCTTACTTTATAGTTTTTTACCTCCTGAATCCAAATATACCATTATTTTTCACCGCTGATAAATATTTCTCAAGATATCGCCGTAAAACATGCTTAACATTACAATAAACAAGATAGGATGGATAACATTTCAAGTGATTCTGTAGTCAAATAACTTAATGTTCTCTATAATAGGAATTTCGTCACATTATGGAGATATAGATGGACTGGTGGACTAATTACTTGTAGTTCTTATTTAGGCATGTCAGGGTGGTAGGTCGTGCTGTATGTGAATTGGTGACTGCATTAAGTGTTTTGAAGTTAGGTTAGATTAGGAAGGTAAAGTTTAGGTTATAATGTATCGAGTTGTTAGTTTATGTTGCCTGCAGACTGTTTTTGTAAAATTAAAATCCTGAGAAAAACACTTCAAATTACTTTTTCAAAAATGCTTGCATTTTTGAAATAGTAATTTGAAGTGTTTTTTCTGGATTTTAATTTTACAAAAATAGTCTGCAGGTAGCATAAACTAACAACTTGATACATTATAACCTAAACTTTAACTTACCTAATCTAACCTACCTTCAAAGGACTCAATGCAGTCACCAATTCGCATAAAGCACGACCTATCACCCTGACATGCCTTTTTTGACATCTAAAGGAGTTTGCTTACACATTCTAGAGGTTTGGTTAGGTTAGGTTATGTTAGAATAGCACCATTTTAGTATGTAATTTCTAAACGGCGAAATATAAATCAATAAATCATTAATAAGGATAAAATACTCATAGTACATTCCACTTTTAAATGGCATCCATCACACCTTGTTTATTGTAATGTTGTATATTATTACGGCGATATCTTGAGAAATATTCATCAGCTGTGAAAAATAATGGTATATTTGGATTCAGGAGGTAAAAAACTATAAAGTGAGATATCAAAATTAAAAATTCGTTTGGAGGCACCTATACGGAATAATTACCATGTTATCCTCTTCAAATGCCTAAGTTATCATTTTTAACCAAAGGAATGGGTCTAGGACTTAACTTAAAAAAGCAAATGTACAAAAATACGGTTCTAAAGGGAGACATAAAGGTTAAGTTTTGGCACTCCTACTGTTTTTATTTTGATGCATACAATTATTATAAGTTATAACTTAAGCCTAGTATGGACAAAAATTAAGTTAGCCTCAGGCCTAAGTACAGTAACTTAAGTTATATGTATTCTTAAACGACATGGTATATTAGGTGAGGTCAATACTTCAGTATGATAATATTTTTGTTGGGCATCACTCACCTTATTGAAGTCACGAGAACGTGGTCCTTGTCATGTCACAATTATACACAGTTCATTGCACATAAAAATATACAAAAATAAAAATAAATCCAAATTTAAAATATCAGACAAAAGTTCTCAACACCGACGTTTCGCCGCACCAAAATCAACGTGCGGCGTTTTCAAGGTTATTTCTCTTCTCACGCAATCGTTGTGAGCGCCTAACCACGACTGACGACCCCGGTGGTGGAGGAGGGGGAGGGGGGACTCTGTTATCAAGAACAGCTGATGGCATTATCTTCTTTTGTTTAGATTTTTCTATGCATCCTTCAATTTCTTTCTCTATTAGTGTATTGTAAACCGGGCTGATATCAATGGATGCGTTGGCTAATGAATCTTTGTTTATTACTTCAGATCAAGATTCATTAGCCAACGCATCCATTGATATCAGCCCGGTTTACAATACACTAATAGAGAAAGAAATTGAAGGATGCATAGAAAAATCTAAACAAAAGAAGATAATGCCATCAGCTGTTCTTGATAACAGAGTCCCCCCTCCCCCTCCTCCACCACCGGGGTCGTCAGTCGTGGTTAGGCGCTCACAACGATTGCGTGAGAAGAGAAATAACCTTGAAAACGCCGCACGTTGATTTTGGTGCGGCGAAACGTCGGTGTTGAGAACTTTTGTCTGATATTTTAAATTTGGATTTATTTTTATTTTTATTTTTGTATATTTTTATGTGCAATGAACTGTGTATAATTGTGACATGACAAGGACTACGTTCTCGTGACTTCAATAAGGTGAGTGATGCCCAACAAAAATATTATCATACTTAAGTTATATGGTAGGCTATTAAAAACCCTCTTTAAAAATACCAATAATTTAAGTAAAATGTCCTAACCTCTCATGTTTAACACAGTTTGAAGAGGTGTGGCTATTTAAAACTGCACTTAGGCGCTTAAGTTAGTATTAACTTAAGATGCATTATACTTCAATGAGTTCAGCCAATTTGATCTATTCCTATGGAATATTGCCCTTATCCCTCCGTCAGTCGCACCCAAATAATTACAATAATGGTCACGCTGTTTATCTAATTGATACAGTTAAATATCAGGTAAGTTGAGCATCATTTCATGTCTTTGTAATGATTTTAACTTACCGGTACTGTTTTAATATTTAAACATAAGTTATACTTACTATGACTAAATAATCCAGTAAACTTAACTTATTTGGAATTAGGCCTACAGTATACTTAATTGAGGATCTAACTTTTAATCCCAATTCCTTACCATTAAAAATGTTCTTGTACTTAGGACAATGTTTTTTTTTTTTTTAGAAATCTATTCAAAATAACAAATTTAAGCTTAGTTATATAAATAATAAGTTATAACAATAGGACAACTTAAATGTTTAGGAATAATGACAATCCTTGTATTTATTTTTCACTATCATGATCAGTGTAAATCATATATCTTTGATTAGACATGTTAAAAAATAACATTCATGGTCACACTGAATCAAAATGATACAAACTTGTGACATAATTTTATATATAGAGTCAAAATTAATTATTTAATATCGTCCTACAATGTATGTCCCTGTTCAGCCCGACATAAAATGTGACGTAAATTCCAGTGCCGGGACAAAATTGATTAACTTATAACCTAATATCGTGGTTTCGTAAAAAGCGTAGTCGTGTTTGTCTCACCCAAAACTAGTCACACATCTTAAATTTGTCCAGATAGCCTAGCCATCAATGAGGTAGTCCAGGATTCTAACTATTTTGTAAATTTAATTATATTTTTGAGTTTTTTGGCTCAGATTATAATTACAACAATGCATTAACTATATTAGCTGGCCTTTAAGAAGTGATCATCACAGCCAAGTTACTCGAAATATGAGTTGAGATCAAATTTTGAACAAAATAACGTGCAAATAAATTTATAACAAAATAATTGAAATAAACGAGAGTTGTTCCTTGTACATGGTTAAAACCAAAGTGAACGTGTGCTAATAATAACTCGTTCAATCACCAGAGTCGTTCTCGTAACTAACTTCATGTTTGAATTCGTAATTTGCTCACGTAACTAAGTCCATTGAGCAATACAATTCGGTGATCTATTTCACCAAATTATCACTTAGGCTACCAACCTTAAGTTATATAGTCAAGGAAGGCATTTAAGAACTTTGTTGGTCCTGTTAGTCATCAGGGAATACTGATTCTTTTTTTGCTGTTAATCGTCCCTAACAAACTGAAACAAACTTGTCTGCTATGACTGAGCTCTCATGTTGAGGGACGATTCTTTTTTTATGTTACAGTACGTCCATTATATAGAGGTACATTGGAAGGAATTTTGTTGTAGAGATGTGAAATTTGATATAGAGGATTGGTAATTAATTACCAACCACAAGACATTTGCTAAACTGAGGTTGATTTTTAAAATCATACTGTAGTCTTAAAATTTGTTGTACGAAGGTTTACAGTTTAATTTGTTTTGAGGTAAAATTAGCATTGATTCATATGACAATGTTCTAGGGAATTTGAAGAAAATTGAAATTTGTACACTGTTTTAAACAATTTGCTATACCAAGGGTTATTATGTTGAGGTTGCTCTGGTATACCTGGATTATAATCAAACATAACTTATGAGTTCAGTTCGGCTATTGATTCTTGTAAGCTCCTGTGGCAAGAAGTCATTTGAGTGTTTATTTCAATAGGTTCATTGTAACTTAAACGTAATTTTATAATAGGGAAGAATAAATTAACTAAGTTACCGCTAGGCCTACTTGTTTCTAACATTATTATTATACAACAAGTGTTAGATTCAACGAGTAGGTAAAAGCTATGAACAAATAAATGCATGAACGTTTAACTGTAAGTTAGGCCTAATGTCACATTTTTAGCATTTGGTGATAAAAAAAAGTATTTTGCTGATTCTATAGACGTGTGAGATAGATGTTTGTACATTAAAAGGTTCACACTATCTTCCTGCGCTCTGCAGAAGTGCTTTTGATAGGTGGAATTTTATGTTCCCCCCCGAGCTAAACAACTAATTTTAAAAGATGTGAAAATATTCTTAGAGCACAAACTGTGTTCAAATTTATCATATTTAAATGCTTATAAATAAAATCTTGTCCAATAAATAACTTATTCTTGATTCTTATAACCTATTGTTACATTTTGTAATGGGTTGGGTTTCATAAGTGTGCTCAATTTTGTATATAAAATATATGCTCCTAGAAGTAATTTGTTACCGTATGATATTTCAAAATAAAAATCAATAAAAAAACACCAGAAATTAAAATTAACTGCTTCATTTTATAATGTTAGCTTGTCTTAAATCACTTGCCTGTCCAAGAATTAATAAGTGGTTACCAATTTACTTATTACATAAATGATGGTGGCTCAACATAGTAGCATCTATAAATAATGTTGACTCTCAAACTTGATTTGTATGCTCTATCTTGTAACTTAGTCAATGTAATTTATCTGCAGTACCGGTAGGCTATACAAGAACTTGGGAAACGGCAACAAAGCTAAATCTAATATAGGCTAATCCAAGTTCTCGAAACTGGGATAGCAAAAATTACTTAAGTAGGCTAACTTTGTTTCAAAATAGGCCTATAGTTTGAATCAAATGTTTTAAGAGTACCCTCGAAACATAATATTACCATTAGGCCTACTATATTGTATTGCCGATGTGAACACAACCTAGGTGTGTATTTTAATCCAAATTTGAGTGAAGGATGGTTAAAGTGAGATGCCTTAAGTGTTTTTTACTGAAGTGTTTTTTTTTAATATATGGTATTCTTGCGATTATTGCAGACAATTTCCATCTTAACTAGTGACAAAAAGTTATTACATCATTACGTGATCTGGAATCCCGTCCCCAGGTGAAGAAGTACCTAAAATATAACAAGATTAATAAACAAACCCAGCTAAAGGTGAAAAATCGCATAGAATAACCACAAGAAAACCTGTAGAGTACCGGTAGTCAGAACCAACATGCAAAAAAAAACAAAAACTGTAAACAGTGTTGTTCTGACCACTACAGTAGACTCCCTCTTATCCAGACACCTTTTGACCGGACTACACTCGGCGAAAATTACATCTCTTTAACCGGACAACTTTTATCAACACATTAATTTAACCGGACTAGATCGGCAGGAAGTGGGAGGTACTGAAACGACTGATCTCATGGGAAAGATTTGAGACCAATGATCACGTGTCTAAATACAATGCTCTCCTAAATTTAAGTCGAATATCACAGTAAACGGTCCGTTTTAACGAGTTTTTGGGGACGTTGGTTTAACTGGAAAAACCGTTATACGGACTGGCCTTAGTCACGAGGAGTCCGGATAAGAGGGAGTCTACTGTATTTGGTTTACTCACTGTATAGTCTGGTCTTCTATGTGATTTTCCAGCTTAAAGTTTAGCTAGATTTGTTTAATACTCTCTTATCACAGACAATAGAACACCAGCGCTGCAACACATACAGGTCTTGAACTATCCAAGCGCAACTGCAGTGAGAGATCTGTAATGGTCTATTCTCTGTGGTTTTATATACTTTCTTACCTGAAGGCAGGTCCAGATTCTACATTCCAAAATGTTGTGAACACTAAATCTTGATGTAGCCCGCAATAATCCGCAATAAAACTGCAGCGGACACTTTCACATTACTCACGCTGCTTTTGACTTGTATTCAACTCTATTTAGTAAAGCCTTTTGTTATATTTGTGTAAATTGCCGTATTACTTGGATACAACCTTAAGAATATTTAATTCTTCAAAGATAATTTAATACTAAGCAGAATTGTTACAAAATATTGTTATTAAGTTAGCAGTTCCTTGCTTAAAAGCAAAAGCTATAGTTACCATGGCCCAGGACTTTTCTTTCGTCTCCAGTCAGTGAAAAAGTCATTCTAAATAGAGATGTCATTAGTTAAGATTTTTATGTTCAATTTAATAGGCTACTCTCTGGTTTTACTTGTATTAGGTAGTTGTATCGATTAGTAAAACAAGTTGGATTGGAAATATTGAAATATAATTGTATATCATCATTAGTGTAAGGAATATACAATTGAATTCCTCTTGAACCTAAAAATGAGGATACGATAGTTGCTTGTCAGTCTACTTAGCAATTACCATGTATGTTTTAAATCGTTCAACAACTAGCCTATTTATTCATTCGGGATGATTGGGCTTGTGGTTCATTCAAACTTTGTATATATAACTTAATAGGCTACATGTGATTTGCATTTTATTATTCTGAAGGTGTTCTTTTTCTTGACAGATATTCTATGATGGCCACTGCTATTCAGAAGAATGGGATGAAGTCACTGCCAAACGGAGCTGTCAACCATCTTGTAATGGAACATCAATATCTCATAAAAGAATCACAAGTTCAGCCACAGACAAAAACAGAAGACCAACAAATGCAGAACGAAGCGTTGCAAACTCATAATGAAAGTGAAGTGAATTGTGAGGAACAAGAACCTGAACCGGAAATAGACATTGTTATAAACAACGTGGTGTGTAGCTTTAGTGTTCGGTGTCATTTGAACCTTCGACAAATAGCTCTTTCTGGTGTCAATGTGGAGTATAGGCGGGAGCACGGGGTAAGTTGTAACTTAGGTTATACCGCTTTAAAATTAAACTGTTGATGCTTGAGCAAGCATGTTGGATTATTTTTGGTAGGTAAATCTTAACTCGTACCGGTAGCTTTCTGATTTGTTTTTTAACAAATAAGCTCCCTTCCAGCTTGCCTGGGCTTAGATGGATAGCCTATATCTTATTCTGTGTTAGGCTTATCTACCCCCGGAGCCAAGGATGATCGAGAATATAAAGTAGGCCTACAAAACATTTAAAAATAAAATTGGTAGCCTACACCTTTTTTTAATACAGGTGAATTTATGTTTGTAGACCAGAGTGTAGGCCAGCTGATTTGGAATTCCTAGAATATCCAAATTTTGAGTAGGTAGGTACCTAAATCTACCACAACGCCTACCTTTACAACGCATGCAAAAGCAGGGTGCCCACCAACCAGGAAAACTGGGAATGTAAGATTTTTTGAACCAGGAAAAAAGTGGGAGCTATGCGTGAATTAAGTATTTTTATCTGTAGTTTAATCTACCGTGATCGCCCATGACGTTTCCGTGTCCGTGGAAGATGCTGATGATGTCCACACGGCCATGGGATATGCTAGTGATTTTGCCTTGATCGCGCATGATGATGTTGTTTCCGTTACCACGGGAGATGATGATGATGTCCACACGGCCTTGGGATATGTTCATGGTTTTTCCGCGGTCGCGGGAGACAATGACAATGTTACACGACCGCGGAAGATGGTGATAACATTTCTGTGACGGTAGACAATTATGATGTTTACGTTACCGGCTAAAAAATATCAGGACCAGGGAAGACAGTGGTGATCTTTCCGTTACTGAGGAAGATATTCAGGATTTTGCATTGATGGTGGAAGACATTGATGGTGTCTCTAAGACAGTGGTAGGCCTAGATGATCATGATATTACCTCGAGTTCGTAGCTTGACCAAAATTTCCGGATGGCACATCAATAAATTTGTACTATTTTGAAATTCTAGGTAGGGTACCTAATATCTTCATTATGCATATCTTTAATATGGTTTTTATTTAACCCTCCGAGTGTCACGTGTTTTGGCCTTAATGTCAGCCTATTTTTTGCTCATTTGCAAGGTTTTATTAAAACTGATCTGAGAAGCTTAAAAACAATGTTAATTATACTGTTCTATATACCATTTTGTTTGGAAAATCTTGGGCTTCAATATTATATATAAAACATAAGGAAGATTTAAAAAAAAAAAATTTTTTTAGGTAAAAAAATGTATAATTTCGAAAATTTTCAAAAAAAAATAAGTTTGCGCTCAATGAAATTGTATAAATTATAGGCCTATAAATATTTGAAAATAGCCACTTTGTTCTAAATTTTATGAGGATTACAAATCTATAATAATATAAGGAAGTAGATTTGCAAATAAAAAAGTTATGGGCAAAAAACAGATTTCAGTACATAGCGTTTGGCTAAGAATGCATAGCCCAACCATAGCTAGGAATCTGGCTGATAATTTACATCAATATCACTACCTACTTCTTCAGGATCATCAACCAGCACTTCAAAACCACTTAAATCTTCTTATAATGCACCACGTATATCACTACTTTTGATTTTTAACACTAAAACAATGATAAACGTAATAAAACACATCAGTCATCGGTCCGAGGGTAACCTAGCTGTTTACAAATACACGCACGTCAGCTCAGTCAGCTGTCTGCTACAATATTTTCGGAACTAAAATGAATAGTGCTTAGAGACAGACCTCTGGAGAAAGCTTAGAATATTACGGACAGAACGATACCTAACTCAATCCAGTACAGTCCGATTCAGTTAGTCATAGAGCCTTCGCCGTAAACAGTGTTCGCGAGTCGCTGCAGCGACGCACGACACTATACAAAGTGCGTTACGCGTCGCTGCAGCGACGCATGACACTCGGAGGGTTAATCTGTTTAGAAAGGTAAAAAACTTAAATTGGATTTTTTTTTTAATTTTTAATTGCTGCATTAATTTTTGTAAAATTAAAATGATCAGTACCTACGGTATTGAGAATCTATTTTTCAGGTAACGCTACGGAGAATCAATAAATTTTGGTATCGACATATTTTTAAAAAAATTACCTAGAATGAAAAATAATTCAGTTTTAAGTAATTAGTTTTAAATTTGCTGGTTATTTTATCAGAGTAATAATATTTAAAAAAATATACCTACTTGTGTCAGGCCTAATCACAGCCTACTTACTTTACAGTAGGCCTAGGCCTAATCATAAATTTTGTTCCTTTAACTGAGAGAGTGCTTTTTTCGATAACTAAAATAGCGAACTGTGTTAGGTAGCGCTTAAATAGCATTGTGGGAGCTGGCGTAAAAACGGGTTGGAAAGTTTGGTATGAAAAGTATGACCTGAACTGCCTGGAATTACTCATGAGTTTTTGCTGGTTGGCCTGGTGGTCACCCTTAAAAGTGAAAAATTTTGTAGGCCATCCGATTTTTTGGAAAAACTATATAGAATCCTATATAAGAACTTTTAGGAAGCCACCTATCAAATATTATTTTTTCTAAGATGGAGCAGCTAGTTACTTAAACAAAAATACCCATTAAAACTAGTGATAATTCTGTTATACAGACAACATTTTACAACCAGCCAATTTTTTAAGAACCATCCAACTAGGGCCTAGCCTAGTTTGTTTGGCACATCAGAAAGTGTCTTCCTCCCTATCAGTTTAATTGTGAATGTTATTGCAACGGAGCTAAGGAAAACCTTAATTATAATAACAGGGAGTTCGCAGCAACAGGTTAGCATGACAACAGTTGCCACAAGGTTACCCTGGATATTCATGTCTTATGTTAAATAACTTCCATGCCTAACTTACACCTCCTAGTGTCACTATTCCCAAACTATGTAACTTACAGAGGTTCTTGTACCCTCTTAAAGAAGTGACAGCTCAAAAAATGTTTGTGTCTGATTGTAGTGTTTTCCCTCTATCATGCAGCCTAAGCATATACTACACATTATTTACTTATAGCTTATAGTTTTAGCTCCTCTTCTTTATTTCCCCTGATATTCTCCAAATCCATCAAACTACTCTCCACTATCATACTTCTTTACCCTTTTCTTTTATCCGTTTAAGCTCTTACTAATACCCATATACTTGTACTTACTGTATGAATGGTAATATTCACAAATTTGTTCTAGATGGTGACGATGAAGCTACGCAAACCATATACTACAGCCTCTATCTGGTCGTCCGGCAAGATAACTTGTACCGGAGCGACCAGTGAGGACCAGTCTCATGTAGCGGCACGACGGTTCGCGCGGAGATTGCAGAAGCTAGGCTTCAACACCAGATTCGCCAACTTCCGCATTGTCAATGTCCTCGGCACGTGTTCTATGCCGTTCGCTATCAAGATAAATGCATTTTCCGAGTACCACAAACCTCAAGCCGAGTGAGTTTTTATCATAATGTACTAACCTAATGTAGCCTACTGTTAGACCTGGAAGTAGGAATTTACAGGGTTTTGATTTTCAAAACTATTAGCTAAAATATGGCAGCGGTTTGTATTCGTCTTTTACCTATAGTAACTACTTATGGTTTCCCATTGCATTCTTAGCCTAAATTATGTTTTTTTTAAGTCTTGCTAGTCGCTTTAGTTTAATGCTCCGATCAATTTTCTAATCAGTCCGTTTATCCTTAGCAAGCACTAAATGCCTAAAAGGAATTCTCAGATTCAAGTTAAACAGATTTTTTTAGCATGCTGGATTTGATATAGTTAGTAGACATTTTTAACTGAATTTTGGAATGGTACACAACCATTTTTGTCTAAAAAATATTGCAACAATCAGATTTTACTGTGAAATTGAGTTTAAATATTTAGATTTCATTTATGGAGGTAAAATGTTTTATTGCATAAGGTTCCTTTAATATAGGTACAAAAAGCCAGCGGTTTTTGTCACCTTGCTAAAAACAAGTGGCTGCAAATTCTCAAGCAATTCGTAACCACAGAACACTAGTTTTTAAAATTTTTGTATCAACCGTGTTAGAGGAATTAAGTGCTGCCAACGTTAATCAGTTACTGACATTTGGTTGATGTGGACTCTAGTGTGACTTTGATTTCCCCCATAAACCCCCGTTCCGATAGTCTGATCATGCTGGTTCGCTAACTTGTTTGAATAAACGTAGGTTTACATGTTTATACCAAATTTCTTCGAAATCGGGTAACTTTTGCTTGAGTCATTAATGGACACACACACACATATATATATATATATATATGAATTTGAACGGAGATTGTGCAAGTAAACTGGTCACAGGTCTAGGTGAGACCTATGGTAATCGCTTATGGGAAATAACCTAAAAGGAGCCTGAGGTGCACAAAGTAGGCCTACACAGGCTACCCGTAGGGTTTTCACAGTACTTGAGAATGCATAAACTAGTTCATTGTTATTTAAGTATTGTATATTGTACAATTTTCTCATAGACAAATAGAATAAATATAGACTGTCAAAGGAAGATTCCACGATGTGCCGCTAGGAGTGTAGTTACGGCGTACACCGCTGCAGGCAAGGAGCTGTATGCTACCAGCAGACGCTGCAGCGGTGTGTGCCATAACTACACGACACTCCTTGCGATGGACGCTGAAACTTATGCTAACATCTGCACTGCTGTCGGGCTATATTTATTCTATTTGTCTATGGTTTTATATTCTGTAACTGTCTTTTGCTCTGTTTTCTCTTGGTCTTGTAGAGAATCATTTTGCAAAACTATTTTACTCACAGATACGAGCCTGAACTTCACCCAGGAGTTACGTTCAAGCTGAAACAGCCAAAAGCAACACTTAAAATATTTTCTACAGGGAGCATAACTGTGACAGGTAATGAATAGTTATTTTGTAGAAGCTGATAAAAATTGCACAAACCTTATCATAATTAGCTTTTAACACATGAGAAAATAGTAGATCAAGTAGGTAGGATAAGGATAGGTTTCAAACTAAGTTTAAGACATTAGTTAGTGGTCAAAAACTTAAATCTTAAACGTGATCTAAAATTCTCATTATTATTGTACACTAAATAGTAACGTTTCTATTGTTTCATGTGTATTTAAGACACTTGCTTAATCCTAAAATGTACCTAAGCATAAATTTAATGTACATTTGTGCTGGAGCTCAAGTGGGGTAAATCATTTGGAACTCCACAACCTTTAATGGTAAGGTATTATTTTTTATTAAGGACTCTAGTCCAGGATTTGTTAGTAAGAACAGGCTTGCCTTTGTCTAGGATTAGATTCACACAAGATAAAGAGTAACTCTAGAATAAATATTTCATGTTCACTGACCACTGTCATTCTTTGAGCGAGAGACAAAGTAGTAGACTTGTAGCAGAGGATACATTAAGGGTCCTGTAACAATCTGTCGGCCAGGCAGGCTTAAACAGCGGAGACAAAATCATCATGGGCGTTGCTTGATCACGGAAGATGATTACGATGATGCCTGATTCTGGTTTAATCAGTTTTTGTTAATCATAAGTTTGAAATTTGATTCTAAATTCTAAATAATTGATTCTAAATGATTCTGAAGTAAAATTGAAAATTACTCATTAATCATGAGTAATCTCACTACGATCGTGATAATATGCTAAAGTAAATCAGCTCGGCCTAATTTTCTGACTTGGTGCTGGATTATTCAAGCTTATACGCTCAGCTCCAAAATTTTAACACTTGCGCACGTCTGTTAAAAATGCAATAATCAATCTAATTAAATATTTAAAACATTTTTTTTTCTTGAATTGGAGCTATTTTTGGTTTTTGATCACTTTTTAATGTACTAGATACCATTAAATTAGTTTTATTTTTTGAACTAAGTTTTGACCTGGAAATACTACATTCCCAAACCAGAAAACCTAGTTTTGTTCTTAAAACTTTATATTCATCCTTCCTTTAATGTTGAAATCAGATAACTCCAACACTTGGACAAGTGCTATAATCAGTATTTTGTGTGCAGCACCTTCAGTGAGCGACGTACAGCAAGCTATCGAGTACATCTATCCTCTAGTCTACCAGTTCCGCAAGGAGCGGACAAAAGAAGACGAGCTGCTGTTGCAGCAGAAACGTATGCAGGGGCTGAAACGGAAAGCCGCAGCAGTTGCCGAGAGTGAAGACGATACCGAGGGCAATGATGACAGCGACTGTGAATAAACTGACTGACTTGATTAGTTTAATCGTTCGGTGCGTAAACCTATATTACAAAGTTACTATATTTATTAGTTTTCCTACAAACAGACTAGTGTCTTATCAAGTTTTGTTGTACCAAAGACTAAAGTGTGACTGGCAGGTTTGTTGGAACAAAGCAATAATTGGATTATTGAATCGTCTCTATTGGTTAAGTTGAGACTGTGGATCCCTGTGTATTTTTTTATTGTCACTTGTGTAATTTAAATTACTGGTTACATTCAATACATGGATAGCGTATTTGGTTATTAATTCTATGAAACAGCAATAAACAAGGTGTTTTCATAAGTAATCAATGTATTTTACATTTCAAGTTTATTTGAATAGAATGATATCTTCAGTTTAAGTTGCCTTAGTGATAGTAATCCGTGAATTATAGTGATTGACTCGGTGGCTTTGAGCCCACTTTAATTTGTTGGTCTCTCTTTGTGTTGGAGATCTATTTTACTTAAAATCTATATAATAATTCAACTCCATTTTTTTCTATTTTCCATTTTTTTGCATTTGGCTTTAAACTAAGAATGATTTTAAAAAATCTTTTCGAAATAATATCACTGATGCATTACTAGAAAAATAAGTATGAGTAAATCTATTTTCTTCAAAAATAAAACTTTGATCTTCAAAAGAAGCCAATTATTGTAGTACCTAATATCTAAATTTACATTAAGTTTTGCATCAATTTTTTGTCCCACCTTCACATCCTAGGCTCTAGCCCGGTATCAATTTTCACATTACTTCAGGCTAGGCCAAGAGGTTGCGGCATTATCCTTTGGAAAAAATCCGCTGGTGATTAGTGGGATTTGAACCTGGGGCCTCAGGGACTGAAGTCGCAAACTTATATCTAAACCAGCTCGCTACCCAAGTTTTGCCACAATGAGATCCACAGTTCTCACCATGAACAAAAGTGTGATTCAGATCACTTTGTTACATTCTCCAACTGTCAAATATGAAATTACAATATTGACTGTTATAAGTCTTCAACATTCTTTAACCCTGTTTTAGTTTATGTTTGTATTTTCCTATTATGTGTTGTAGCAACTTTTTTTATTACTTTAGCGTTATCTCACCGAAAATAGGAGACTAGGTTAAGTTCTTTTATTTATTTAATTACTGTCCTGTTTGTACATTGTATGGTTGACTGTTTCCGCTGTGATGATTGTGTTTTCATGTCCATAATTACGTGTAAACAGTTTTTCATTGTTATTTTATGTGTTAGTCCGATCAACATATTGATAACAGTGCACCTTATCATTCTCATTGACATCAATTTAAGATCATTAAACATCTGAATTTGAGGGAATCTGTAAAGGTGGTTAGGCCCATAGTTTTAGCTGTTTATTTAATTTTCATTAATATTGATTTGTCCAAGCACAACTAATTTGGTTCAGCTCAAAATCTTAAATTGTTTTTGTTACAGGAAATAGTTTCTAACTTCTTTTTTCATATTGTCAATCTATGTTTAGAAGTAGATTGAAAATAATTAGAACCCTTTAAGGAAGTGGTAGGTAATATTTTGTATGGTCCAAAATGCATAATTTTTTGTTAGGAAATAAAAAATAAAAAAATAGAGTTCAGATAGCTGACCTGAAAAAGTTCCAGGAGGTAATGGATATAGGTACAAGAAATGGTTACATAACCTAACACTAATATTTTGTCCTAGAATAGGTTGAAGGGGACATTTTTCCCCTGACCCAAACATTTTGTGTTTTACCTAACTCAACTTCTATTCATTACTCTTTGTAACAAAATGCCTTTCTTCTTTCTTTCCCTCTTAACATGATCAGAGTTATTTTTTTGTTTTGAAGTCGACTAAGTTCACGATTTACACTGGCAAAGTCATAATGTAATACAATGTAAAAGTTATTGTTTTAAATTTTACTGGTGTTTTAAATACAAATATATTTATATTTTTAACAATGAACTGATGTACATTATAACTGTTTAGTATATTTTTAGTGTTTAATTTTCACTCGTTATATCACATGAAATTATTGTATTAAATTGTTCGCTTAAATACTTACTATTGTTTTTCTCATTTCTAGAAGGGTGTTTATCAGTTGTATGTTTTGTGGTTAGTGTTGAATATAATTATGATAAAGACGTCATTAAAAGATTATTGTTGTCTTCAGTAATGTTCTGTAATTTTTTGTGCAGAATCGGTCTGTTTTACTCACATAATGCTGTATTCTAACCAATAATTTAACTATGTGGATAAGATCCAATAAGGAAAGTCTTATACAACTTTGAATATCAAAATAAATGTTATTAGCTGCACAAATAATTATTTGTTGGATATAATAGTCCAATTTTTGGAGATACATTTTTCATAGTTTTAATGTAACCTCTATGATAATTAATATTTTAATCTTTAAGTTTATTTTCCAAAAAGTGTTATCGGCATTTAACCAAAAAGTTTTCTAACAGGTTTGAACGGTGAGAGTTTTAAAAGTGTACTTTCAGTTTGAATGAATGAACAATGCTTTCTTTAAAGTGGTTTTAGCTTTTAAAACCTAACACCGTGGTGTAGTTAGAGTTGTAAATGTATTTGAATTAACGAACGAAGTGATGTAATTTCTGGAAAAGACTTACTGGTTAGAAAAATGTCTCTATTTTCTGTTTTCACAACGATCCGAGAAAACTGTTGGTTACATGCTTATTACAAAATCTAGGCTGACTTTGTCATTGTGGAGAAAATGGTCAGTATTATTCAAGTAATTGTCAAAATACAATAATATAAATAGCATGGAAGCTATTATTTTGCCTCTTCAGTCACTAAACTGTAACCATCAAAACTATTTTTTCTTCAGAGAATCATGTTAATTGTTGTGTCTAGTCTGCCTTTTCAACAACAATGTAATACAATACGAGCAGATATCTCCTGGTAGAATCAAAATGTAAACAAGCAGGTCAGAAATAACCAATACTTACTTACTGCCGTGGCTCTAAAAATCACAGTTAATTCTTCGCCGTGTGTACACACACTCTTCCACCCTTATCTGTATTCTACTAACTTGACATTTGCACCTATCATCCTGATGTCCAATACTTGGTCAGTCCATCTCAATTTCGGCCTTCTAATGGACGCTTACCAATAATAATGAATAATTGATCTTACACAGGGTGGCCACCGGACTCCTTGAAAAAATGCACACTTTTTCCCGGCAGCAAAACCTGGTTTTCCTGAGCATGATTTTTGGTCGACAAGTGTAGCTTATACTAAAGGTCTGTGTGGGAACTTCATACTTTCAGTTCAATCTGGGCCATCTATTTGTCTAAGTAATCGGTACAGCCACAAATAATTATCAGGCCAAGTGTTTTTGAAGATAACAAATTTACGGTTTTGCCGCAATCGTGGGAGATGATGTTGACCACAGAACATGTTCACGATATCACCACGGCCGCAGACAATGATCACGGTTTCTCCTTGACCACAAAAAATGTTCTATGTTTTATTGTAACTGTGGGAAGACGTTCTCGTTTTTGCCATAACCGCAGAAGATGTTCTCAATTGTAACAAGACCGTCGAAGACAAAATTGACGATTTTGTAGCAATTGTGGGAGATGATTATTGTGTTGCTATTACTGCAGACGATGTTCTCGATTTTGCCGTGGCTGTGGAAGGTGTTCACAATTTTGCTATGATCGCAGAACGAGTTCTCGATTTTGCCATAACTGTAGATGTTGTTAAGTTTTGACGTGACCTCGGAAGATGTTCACGATTTCACCATGACTGCAGACTAATATCAGGTTGTGCATAGTGAGTCGGTGGCTCAGTCGGTAGCGTCGCGGACTTTGGGCCCAAGGCAGCGATGTCGTGGGTTCGGATCCTGGTCCCTGCCGATAACATTTTATTAGTACAGTTCACCTTTGTACTGTACCGGCTCACTCCTTGCTTTGCTGTTAACGATCCAAGCACGGGCGCTTAGTCTATGTGGACAGGCAAATGCAAGGTTAAAAGAGGCCGCCAACCTCTTTTTTTAAAACTAAAACCTAAATAGTTTTCAGGATTTCTGATCTGTGGCCCCCTGTTACACAGCAAGGGTGGTTAGTATACATCAGCCATTTCAAAGTGTAGTATATCGATTTGATTGAAGCTCTAAATAATGTTTTGCTTTCATCCCGTTTTGATTTATCAGTTTTGAAATTGAACCCCCTTAAAAAAAAACTCCCTTTGACATTAGCAGCTAATTGTGAAAAGCACAGCTTTCTAGATTGCCTATAATATGATAAGTGACATTCTCATACTTACTGACATCTGGGGAACATAGGGGTAGATTTTAATTGAGTGTTGCATTTTTCTCTAGGTTCTAAAATGAACCTTGCAAAATTATTGTCCTAAGTATCTGCTTCTTGGTGAATTAAAGTTTTGGATCTTGTTTTTATCTAACTTTCCCTAAATTTCTTGTTTAAAGTAAATTTAGGAAAATACCTCAGTTGCACAGATACTCTCTTGTTCCTCTAAAGGCTTACAGTTGAAATAATTTTGTGTATTGTATTGTGTCAAAAATGTCTATAGCCTAACTAGTTCGTTAATTCTAATATGTGAATATGGAAGGTAGTTATAGGTAAATGATATATATTTTAAAATGGTAAAATGTCAATAAGAAAGAAAAGTAAAACTCTTTGTACAAGATTTACTGTCAGGCTTCTTCCATTAAATGTTTTAGTGTTATTATTTGTTTTATATTTAGTCTAATCATAATTTTTTCTTTGAAATTAAACATTTGACTAAAAGTTGTGTGTAATGTAAACTGAAGCGTTGTTCAGTAGTTGAAAAAGACAACAGGTAGAACGGTGGCCAGGTACAATATTTGTGGTTTGGTCTAAGAGGTCTGTAGATGTTTGTACAGGAAATCATAATCAAACAGCTTTTAGTGTGGGAAACGGACTATCACACCGTTATTTCCAAGAAAAAATCTAGTTGTTTCTAGTGATATAATAATCATTATCAATTGAAATTGAAATGTGAATTTTTGCTAGGTGCGAATTTTAACCCAAATATGAATGAATAATGGTGTGAGATGCCTATGTAGCTTTGTTACTAACTAAGACCATCAGTTTCATAAGACAGGACCATTTTATTCAATCAAGAATTATAGAGCCCCCATGGTCATGTTTTTGTAAATAATGACTGCTACCTTAATGATCCTGGAAACTAAAACACATTCCTCTTTGACCTCAATAGAAAAAAATTTGATCCTCCTAAATAAGAACTTAAAATATTTATATATAAGCTACCTTGTTTTTGCAGAAGACTTCTTAATAACATTTTCTGAAAGAACAAAGGCTTAAACAAAAAAACAAGTAACTTAAAAATAGACAAAATCACTTGTCACTGTGCTTGTTACTTTTATGTGGCTATGTAGCAAATTACATTAATAAATTTTATCTCAGAAATATCAAAAATTACATATGTATACTACAAATACTCTAAAATTAGGTACCGTAATCACTTGAGCGCTATGAAGCATATTAATTTTTGTGCTGCAAAGGCAAATTACATTCATACTAAAATAAGTAAATTAAAGTGTGAACTCAAACTGTATTAATAACTTTTATCTAACATGTATTTATTTTGTACTTCTTTTTAGAAAATTGCTGTATTCAACATTTTCACCACAAGTGTAACATCAAACTGTTAATATCCATTCTTCCATTCACCCCAATGAGCTAGAAATACTACTGGGGGTAGCACTGACATAGCAACTCTGCTAGAAAATCGAGACGCATAATTTTATTGTGTTTATAGAGTTTTACTAACTAGGGGATTCAGCACATTATCTTATGGCTTTAGATACAATCCCCTGGTTCAAATATAATACGTAGAATGTACTTTATCCCCTAGTATGGTGGCAATGTCTTGTGGTTCTTTCATTCAGTACTACCTGCAGTTAGTTGTATCATAGATAAAACATACTCCCTTAGTAGATGTCAACCTTGTGGAACAGTTGAAGCCAATTTTATTGTTAGTTCTGTACGTCCAACTGTAGAGGTCGTGTTTTGTTTAAATTTTTTTTCTTGTTATTTCAGTCATTTAAAACCTCATTTTACCAAAAAAAAAGGATATAATCATAAATTATAACTGATCTCCTAGTTGTATAACCATTTTTTTTCCTAGGACGCTAGGAGCAAGCCTGGGATTGTTTTTCACATTACTTCAGGCTAGACCTAAGGGTTGCGGCATAATCACTTAGATAAAATCCATTGGTGACTTGGCGGGGATCGAACCCAGGACCAAAGGGACTGAAGTCCTGCGCTCTAACCACTACGCCAGCTCGCTCCCCTATATGTATAACAATATAGTAAAGCACAAATCATGAAAATAACCCTAAAATAATAGAAACAAAATTTGGTCTACCCCAGCGGTCAGTGTGGACGTACATGAACTAGACACGAAAAACAAGCTTCAAAATTTACAATGGGATGAGGAGTCTACTTTTGTTGCTTACTCTATGGTTGTATCTCTAGCTCAGTAATTCAACCTCTTTGACTTGACTGGTGCGACTAATTTACTCTAGGTCTTGGATGGCAGTGTAATTATTTTTTTGGTGCTTTCATTGATCTTTTAGGACTTCCACATTTATAGGACATCCTCCAACATTCAGAATTTAGTTAATTAGAATTAAACTGTACATAATAAACTATTGTAAATAATAAAGGCTGCACACGTCTTGACAATGTCCAAATGAGCAATGAATTTCTGGAGATTAATTCTCTTAAATACCAGATTGTAGAAAATGAGAGATATATTCCGTGCTAAATGGAACAATAACAGATTCTATTTTCTTATTGCACAATATTTTACTCCAAGTCATAGCAACAATGTGGTCGTCATAGCAACAACCACAAAATATTTACTCTAGAATGTAAGACAAATTACAGGTCATCGGTTGCAATAAGGGACTGTTTTATGATGAAAATAAGATCTGCCTTAATTAGGACTAGTAACTCAGCCCCAATGTGTGTCAGTGTTGTTTATAGTTTGTGATACTGTTTGTAATGATTTTTAAAAAATACTGTAAAAACATTGTAGCAATATTGCAAATAATGTGGAAATTCAAATTGTGTTTACCAAATACAATCATTGTGAAAAAGATTAGCTTGGCTTTTTTATTGTAAACCTTGTAAAAACTTTAATTCAGAAAAATTATAATAACTTTAGTTACTGGAATCAATCCCAGAAAAATGTATGATTATAATGGTTACCATTTCGCAGCAAATCGGCCTTGTAGGATTCTCTATCTATATATTAATTTGAAACTGTTTTTCTTTGTGACAGCTATTTTGAGAGAACGGCTGGGCGTAGAAACTCGGTAGGGGTGTCTAAAGAAAGGTCCTGGTCTGTAGATGAGCCATCAAAAGAGAAACATGGAGAATTCCCTCGGGGCTCTGCCCCAGTGGCCTTTAAATTCCCATCCCATGTTATTCTTATGGAGGAAAACGAGGTTTTTGTCACAGCTAATTTGAGAGAACGGCTGGGCGTAGAAACTTGGTAGGGGTGTCTTAAGAAAGGTATTGGTCTGTAGGTGAGCCCTCAAAAGAGAAACGATGTAAATTTCCTTGGGGCTCTGCCCCAGAGGCCTTTAAAGTTCACTCTGCAATTTTGTTTACATTTCGACCATATGGATAATTTTACACTACTTTTAATGAACCAGCTGTTAATATTAAAATTGTATTCAAAGGTCTACTGAAACTGTCAAAATTAAATGTTTACATTATTATTTATGATTTTAAATGGATTCTCCACTGCATGGCAAGTTTTTTATAGTTTCAAGAAAATGATGTATTTATGATACATTTGAAATGTTTTGTTCAAAAATCTATGCTTTATTGCTCTTAGAAAATTTTAAATCATGAAATAAGTGTGACTTATCAATTTCAAAGGAACATATAACTATTCCTTATCGGGTTAGCTTATACATATTGTAAGGTTGGCACTTGCCTTTTTTTCCTACTTTCAATCACCATTTATTTTTAAATTCAAGAAAGAACACCTGAGATTCATTTATTGGTATAACAGTTTTTGATAATCGGGTTGAAAATTGTGTCATAGATGAGTACGTTGAGGATGAGAGCTGTGTTCAAGTTTTGGAATTGACTAACTACACGGAGTCTATGGTTTTGGTAAAGTAGGTGAACTAATGTCAATTCAGGTATTTAAAAAAAAGTGTACACAGTTTTTACTTTGATGTACACATGTAGCTAGGTTGAACAACGCATCTAAACCTCACTACATACAAAACATTCGGAAACACAACAGTGTCATCACATCTCATCGCATTTGCATAATTTGTTACCAATGCTGGACTACGTTATGGATTTGGTTCCACAAATGTTCAAGATTTGTGATACAGTTTCCTACAATTATGGTTCATTCCAATCCACGAAATACATGCACAGCTTTATGTGATCTATATGGCCAAGGCAAAACTACCCCATAAGTTAATGAATTATCAAGTAAGAACAGGATGATTAAATACATTGGTTGATGGGGCAAGAGAAGGATTTAAAATTGCTGAGATCGAAGTAAGAATGTTACTGCTTTCTGGAGAATCAGATATTTTTATAAAAAAAAGATGAAGATTTACTTATAAATCCTGATACAATCTGAATGATTTTCCTAAAGCAGATGGAATTAGTGGTTAGTATAATAAATATTGACTCTTTCCGTAACATGATAGACTAATTATATGAACTCATTCTCCCATATAGTGAAAGTGGCTTTGGTATGAAACAAACTCATGAACAAACAATTATAAGACTCCTAAAAAACCTTTTGGGCAACCTAAAGCCGATAAAAAGAAAGGTAGGAAATATTGTGTTAAACGAATTCATCAATCACGTTTTTTAGGGAACACAATCGTCATTATTATTGCTTATCCTCCCTTCATATAACTAAGATTTTAATGACTTCACTCTATCCAACGCAGTTAGCTGAATTTACATAAAACCTTAAGATTAACCGTTGATTTCGACGGGGTTCCACTAGTTTCTTATGGATTTCAAAAGTGAAATGTTGCTCAATGGTGGTAATTTTGGAGATGAACCATTTTTGAGTATGATAACATTTTTAATGTTACAAATAGGTCAAAACTACTGAAATTGCAACCTACAAAAAATTTTATCTTTAGTTGGTGTGGCACTTTGTACCGAATAGAAAAGGTTTTTAAAAGTAAAGTGTGCAAGACTTTATAACCTGATTTCAAATCGGTACAGGATTATTACAATGACAATTGTATTGTTATGAGTAGTACCCAACCCAAGCAATTTACGTAATAAAAAAATAAAATAAAATAATAGTCTTAGTAGCTTGAATTAGCTTTGGTTGATTTCAGTGAATGGAATTATTAGAGAGTAATGATTGTACAATTAAAACCTTTTGTTAAAAAAGTAATAATGATTTTAGTCTGGATTAAATATGTACATTGGCATTTAATTTAGGTGGTCAGAATAATTAATGGCCCATTTTGATTTTAAAATTGATTGCTTTTAGTGTCGTCACTTGCCGAGTTATTGTTGAAGCAGTTTTATTATTTGCACGGCGACTGTAAAAGAGTTCATTTTATTGCAGTACGGTATATATATTTTTACAATGGAAGATTACTTTTTCCAGAAAATTTACCTTCTACTATTTATTTCCAAAGTAGTTGCTCTCTGCCCTTTTAGTATTAAAACACAAAAGTTGTCACCATTTTGGAGTGTTTACTCCTTATTACTAACTGCCCTAATGATCTCGATTTCTGTCTACCAACTGAACGTGGAAATCACTAATCAAAACAACTCTAAACTTTTTAAATTTGTAGCATTTGTCTACATTGCTTCTCCAACAATATCAAGAACGCTAACCTGTTTAATTTTCATCACTAGATACAAGCTGTTATTGCGTTTTCTCAAAAATGTGTCGCAAATAGAATCAGTCATTAATAAGATACTGAATGTCCCTTTGCCAAAGAATTTGTATGTGAAGTTTCAAATATTAATGATACTCATCATTATTGTTGTGGAAGGAATTCAAGTGTTTTTGGTGTACGTTACTAACGGCTTGATTCCAGCTGTTGTCAGAGGTTTTACGATCATCTCTTACCTTTGTCAAGCTCAGTTTGTATGCTGTGTTTTATTACTCAACCACTATCTTGCCATTGTATTTGATATTCTTTCAAAGTTGGAGGAGGAGAATAGTTCATACAGTAATCAAATTTTTTGGCAAGGAATTGTAGGGAAAGGAAACTACGAAGAGAAAACTGTCAATACTTGCAGAGAACTCGTTCGTTGGATTAGTATAATCAAAGATGATATCAATTCTTTCTTTTCATTCCCCATTTTGTTTATCATCGCTGATAGTCTGGTTTTAATCACATTCAATTTGTATCTGCTTATAAAGAACACATCTTTTGCACTGGATTTAACTGAGATGATGCAGCAAATAACCTATTTGTACACAGTTTGTGTGAATGTCATTCAAGTATTTCTCATCGCTTTTCCACCAGCTGCACCAGGAGAGGAGGTAAATATTACTACCAGAAGCTTTCGTTAACATAACTAGTATGAGATTGTGAATGAGGGAATTTCCCTACACAGCGTAGGTTCTGAAAAAATTAAATTATGAATTTACAAAACATAACAAATAAAAATATAATAAAAACGAATTATGAAATTATTGTTCATAATCACTCACTCAATCACTATGCCTTTGAGTTGGAGAAGCTGGAAAGCTTATACCCAAATATGAATGAAAACATATTTTTATGGCGTAGCCTGTGTTCACAGTAAAACTTGTTTTAGCCTAAAAGCAAAAATACAATACCAATGTGAATACCCTGTTTCACTTTGTTTTCTGACAGACTGAAAGTTGCCCGTAAATTATATTACTGTGGCAATAATTCAAATCAAGAATTTTTGTTTTAATATGTCATACAAAAATTTGACCAGGAAAATAACTGAGCTTGCAGGCCCAACAGAAGATTGACTAAATCCTATAATTTGCACAGTCAACAAAATGAAAATGGTGACAACAGTGATAGCAAAATTCAAAAATTAAATTACAGTAGTGCAAAATATGTAGATTTACTTATTTGTATACATTTTTTAGCCAAACCAAAATTTGTCTCTTCAAAATGTTCCACTTAAGTTCCTCAGATAGCTTGTGGTAGAGATGCAGACTTTGCCATGGATGTGAGGAAAAAGTGAGATATTTAGGTTATCCTGGTGTTGTCTGGAAATTTGTAAATTACCTACAACTAGAAATAGTAATATCTACAATTCTGCCTGCTGATATATTAATTTAAATTTGGTTCACATTCAGTACTGTATCTAACTGTTCTAAGTGTCCTGGCATCTGCTGTATGAAACTCATTTTAGAGTTGTATTAGATAATGAAGAACAAGTTTAACTAAATCACTTAAACATATTAACAATCCAGAAAAACTTGAATTTGGTCGTACAAAGCACTTCATGAATGTTTCAGATTCAGCGCATAGCAGGACTCGTTCACAAACTAATCAATGTAAAGACATATCATGAGGAGTCTGATGTAAGAGTTTTATTTTGTATTGCTTAGGCTTTGTAAACATCATTGCCGGATTTAGGGTACTTGCGGCCCTTGGCCAAATTACTTGAGCATCCCCCCCCCCCCGGTGGAAATTCCCTGCGATCATGGATGAAATTGTGGATATTCCCTTTGCATCAAGGGGACATCACAATAGTCACCTGCGATCTTGGGTGAAATCGTGGGCATCTCCACCAAATCAAGACAAAGTCATCATAGACATCCGCGACCGTGGAAAAATCAACATCACCCGCGGGCTGCAACACAGGGACATCAACATTGACATTCGCGGCTGCGGCAAAATCATGATCATACCCCGTAAGCTGCGATCATGAGGATATCATCACCGTCACCTGCGACCACAGCGAAATCGTGCACATCACCCGCGGGCCACAACTACGGGGACATAATCATCGACTCTCACGCCCACAATGAAATCGTGAACATCTCCTGCGAGCCGCAATCACAGGGACGTAATCATCGATACTCTAGATCCCGGCAAAATCGTGAACATCTACCGTGGGCTGCGATCATGAGGATATCATCAACGTC